TATGTTGCGCTCAGTATTAAGACGGTGTTCGTTCTTCATCTGCAGACGTGAATAATTTGACCTTCAGAGACAATCGCGAGTCTGCTGGAGGTAAATTGTGTTGTTGTTGTTGTGTGACAGGTGAGACGGCGCCCCCTGCTGGCTCCCGCTGTTCACTAATGCTGCAATCAGAGCCGCCGCGCCGTGTTTACGGAGAGGAGAGCGCGGCGAGCACGAGGCTGACACACACACGAGCGTCGGAAACTCATCACAAAGTCTGAAAAAAAAATTAAATTAAAGTTTAATGATTGGGATATTGAAACTGGACTAAACCAGGACTAAACCACCAAGTAACCAGGACTAACTCAGGACTAAACCAGGATTAAACCAGGACTAAACCAAGACTGAACTAGGCCTAAACCAGAACTAAACCAGGACTGAATCAGGACAAAATAAGAACTAAACCAGGACTAACTCAGGACTAAATCAGGATTAAACCAGGACCAAACCAAGACTAAACCAGGACTAAACTAAGACTAAACCAGGACTAAACCAGGACTGAACTAGACCTAAACCAGAACTTAACCAGGACTGAATCTGAACTAAATCAGGACTAAACCAGGACTAATCCAAGACTAAATCAGGACTAAACCAGGACTAATCCAAGACTAAACCAGGACTAAACCAGGACTGAACCAGGACTAATCCAAGACTAAACCAGGACTAAACTGAAACTTAACCAGGACTTAATAAGGGCTAAACCAAGACTAAGCAAGGACTAAACCAGGACTAAACTAAGACTAAACCAAGACTAAACCAAGACCAAACTAAGACTATGCCAGGACTAAACCAGGACTAAATCATGACTAAACTAAGACTAAACCAAGACTAAACCAGGACTAAATCAGGACTAAACTAAGACTAAACCAAGACTAAACCAGGACTAAATCAGGATTAAACCAGGACTAAACTGGAACTAAACCAGGACTAAATAAGGGCTAAACCAAGACCAAACCAGGATTTAACCACGACCAACCTAGCATTAAACCAGGACTAAACCAAGACTAAACCAGGACTAAACCAAGACTAAACCAGGACTAAAATGCTTTTCTGCGTGGCGACAGGTCAGATCTGTGGAGAGGCGACGCCGCTCACAGTCAGAATGTCTGGTTTTTCGAGTATTTTTGAGTTTTAAATCCACCTGTAACTGAATAAACGTAAAGTCGAGCTGTTTAAAGTCACACCTTGACCCAGCGACAAAGTTCCAGAGTGCGTCTTTAACCACACGTGTGAAGGAAGCGGCGTTGGAACACACACATCAGAGGACGGTGTAATGTGTGTGTGTATTTTTAGCGCGGTTATTTGGGTCCGAGGTCGTAAACACTCGTTGGAGCTTTGACTCACTTCCTTCAGCTTGTGCTAAACGCTTTTCTAATTCAGGATGTTTCACTATAATTATCCCCCGGAGACTCTGAAACTCCCACCAGCGCCGCAACGCCCCACCGAGCCAATCAACCTCGAACGCACCGCCGCAAAACACGCACAAGCAGCACAAACGCAACACAAACGCAACACAAGCGCATCACAAATGTACCACAAATGTACCACAAACGCACAAACACCACAAACGCCCCCCGAGCCAATCAACCTCGAACGCACCGCCGCAAAACACGCACAAGCAGCACAAACGCAGCACAAACGCAACACAAACGCAACACAAACGCAACACAAACGCAACACAATCGCAGCACAAACGCAACACAAACGCACCACAAACGCAGCACAAACGCAACACAAACACACAACAGATGCACAAACGCAACACAAACACAACATAAACGCAACACAAATGTACCACAAATGTACCACAAACGCACAAACACCACAAACGCCCCACCGAGCCAATCAGCCTCGAACGCACCGCCGCAAAACACGCACAAGCAGCACAAACGCAACACAAACGCAACACAAACGCACCACAAACGCAGCACAAACGCAACACAAACACACAACAGATGCACAAACGCAACACAAACACAACATAAACGCAACACAAATGTACCACAAATGTACCACAAACGCACAAACACCACAAACGCCCCACCGAGCCAATCAACCTCAAACGCACCGCCGCAACACAATCGCAACACAAACGTACAACTAAAGCACAAACGCACCACAAAAGCACAAATGCAACACAAACGCACCACAAAAGCACATTGTGGCCATACCGGCTTGTAAAAGCCTGATCCCGTCAGATCTCAGAAGCTGAACAGACTGGGTCTGGGCAGGACTTGGATGGAGACGCTGGGAATTCCAGGAGCCACAGTGAGGCGCCAGTGGCAAAAAACTGTCGTTGTTTCCTTAGGCAAGACACTTCACCCACATTGCGTAGTATGAAAGTGGTGTGTGTGTGTGATGTGTGTGTGTGATGATGGTCGGAGGGGCCGATGGCGCAGATTGGCAGCCTCGCTTCCGTCAGTCTGCCCCAGGGCAGCTGTGGCTACAGTAGTAGTTTACACCACTGAGTGTGGAGTGACTGAATAATGAACTGTAAAGCTCTTTGGGGATCTTGAAAGGCGCTGTATAAATGCAATCAAACAATCACAAACACCACAAACGCACAAACACAGGTCCAAACCAAGAGTAAATCAGGACTAAACCAGGACTAAACCTAAATGACTAATATACATATATATATATATATATATATATATATATATATATATATATATATATATATATATATCTTCACAATATATTTTCTTTTCAAATTCCCATTTCTGTATTTAAAATGAATCCTTAAATTGAGATTTCTTCTATTAAGAAAGTTTTATTTCACTTGACAAGAAAAATGATCTGCCAATGCAACAGTTTTTGTGCTTAAAATATGAAAATACATCTTGCCACATTTAAGATAAGAAAAACAATTTGCACTTAAAATAAGAAACAAAATTGAATGTTGCTTGAATTAAGAAAAACACTTATAAACTTATTCCATTGGTAGATCATTTTACAAAGTCAAATGTTCTTATTTTAAATCATTTTAACTTTTTGCAGTGAGAAAACAATGATTATTATGGGGTAAATAAACACTCAGCCTGGTCTTTCTCATATTTCCGAGTCTTAATCCAGAGTTTTGGACGTCAGCGTGCGTCTGATCGGGTGGAACGGTGGAATATTTCAATGTTAAACACACAGTCTGATGCTTTGGCTGCTGTTGCTTCCATTTGTTCCAATAATAAAAACATGAGTCAGTGAGTCTTAAACAGGCCCCGGGTTTGTCTCGGTGACATTTCTCCCACAGCTCTGGCTCCCGCTGCAGATTACAGACTTTTAGAAACACTCGCGGTGGAACGTGGACTGGGCTGTTTTTAAACGAAGATAAAACACCGACGTCCTGAAGGAGTTTGGACGTTTAAAGCTCCAGAGTTTTATTTGAGTAAAGTGTGTCTTCCCCAGTACAGTTTTGTAAAAGTGGGTCTTTAGATCAAAATAAATCCACTGTGAACTGTCTGGGTCTAATTATGAAGCTTTATACTCTCCGATGATCAGGAAGTGTGCAATAGCATGCTAGTTGTTGACTGGTTTCTGAAATGAAAAGCGCTCCTGAACTCATCACGGTTTCTTCTCCTCGCTTTTGTATTTCTGTAAAAATATTGGTTTAGTATCCGTGTGCCATTCGATCATTTGTTTTGTTTTTTTCAAAATAAAACCAAAAATAAGAAAATGAAAAAACAACAGTTTTCTTCATTATTTGTCTTCAAAACCAAAATGAAAAAAACAGATAATGAATAATTTTTTCGATTTTGGAAAATGGATAACGGGCGAAACCAGGACTAAACCAGGACTAAAACAGGACCGAACCAGGACTAAACCAGGACTAAAACAGGACCGAACCAGGACTAAACCAGGACTAAAACAGGACCGAACCAGGACTAAAACAGGACCGAACCAGGACTAAACCAGGACTAAAACAGGACCGAATCAGGACTAAACCAGGACTAAAACAGGACCGAACCAGGACTAAACCAGGACTAAAACAGGACCGAATCAGGACTAAACCAGGACTAAAACAGGACTAAACCAGGACTAAAACAGGACCGAATCAGGACTAAAACAGGACCGAACCAGGACTAAACCAGGACTGAGTGTCGGGACGGGCCTGGAGGCGCACCCATGTAGACTGTCGGGGAATTAGGACTGAGACCGGGTCGAGACTGGGACTGAGACTGGGACCAGACCAGGACTGAACCAGGACTGATCCCAGGACTTAAACAAGACTAAAATAGGACTGCACCAGGACTAAACCAGGCTTAAACCAGATCTAAATAAGTTCTAAACCAGTACTGAACCAGGTCCTGGTCTCAGTCCTGGTCTGGTCCTGGTCTGGTTACAATCTCAGTCCCGGTCTCAGTCCTGATCTCAGTCCTGGTCTCAGTAACGGTCTGATCCTGTCCTGATCCTGGTCTCAGTTCTGCTCTAAGTCCAAGTCTGGTCCTGATCTGGTCCCAATCTCAATCCCAGTCTCAGTTCCGGTCTCCGTCCCGGTCTCAATCCCGGTCTGATCCTGTCCTGGTCCTGGTCTCAGTTCCGGTCTCAGTACTGGTCTGGTCCCGATCTCAGTCCTGGTCTCAGTACTGGTCTGGTCCTGGTTTGGTCCCAGTCTGGTCCTGGTCTCAGTCCTGATTCAATCCTGGTTCAGTCCGTTATCCTTTTTATCCATTCTTCATTTAAACTCAAAATCGAAAAACGAATCGTTATCTGTTTTTTTTTGGAGATAAATAATGAAGAAAATTGTTGTTTTTTCATTTTTTTATTTTTGGTTTTATTTTGAAAAACAAATGAACACACAGACTGATCCCTAATACTGTTGTGCATTTTCTCTTTTGTTTGAATTCTAACCCTCTCTTCTTCTTCTTCTTCTTGTTCTTCTTCTTCTTCAGGCTGCGGTGCTCCTCTCTCAGGGATAGTCCCTCCTCCCCTCGGCCTTTCCCGGACCCCCGCCCCCCCCCTCCGCCATGAAGGGCCTGAGCAGCCGGGCGCATCACCAGCTCGTCTCCTACGAACCCTCCTACGACCACATGGGGCACCACATGGACCGCAAGCCCTTCCTCATCAGCCAGATGGACATGCCCGTGCCCATCCAGATACCCAACCCGGCCGAGATGTCCTACTACAACCCCCAGCACGCCGGGTACCCGTCGGACAGCAACAGCATCGTCCCCTACGGCACCTTCCCGCGCCGCTGCCACTCTACCTCCTCGTCTCACCACGCCGACAGCAAAGACGAAAGCATGGCGGTCGTCCCGTACGTGGGCGGAGGAGGAGGAGGAGGAGGGAGCGCCTACGGAGGGAAAACCCCGACCAGAGTCCCGGCGAACTACGAATTCGAGCGGCAATCGTCGTTTTCGAGAGACGGGTACCACACGCTGCAGTACAAACGGGGCATGGTGGCGCACGCGGGCGGAGCGATGCCGCCCAACAACAATAATAACGACAGCCCGGGCAGGATTAGGCATCTGGTTCATTCCGTCCAAAAGCTTTTCACGAAATCGCACTCGCTGGAAGGCCCGCACCACACGCCGTCTGTCAAGGGGCCGAGCAACGGCAGCGTGAGCGTCATGGGCGGGGACAGGGTGGGCGGGGAGAGAGGCGGCGGCGCCAGAGCGAGCCCGGACGGCGAATCGAACCCGGGCGGCGGCGGCGGAGGAGGAGGAGGAGGCAGCCGCCATCGGAAGCGCAGCAAAAGCCGAGAGCGCTGCCGGTCGGCCGAGCCCAAGCACCGCGCGCACTACCACCACCACCAGCTCCACGGCTCCGCCTCCGCCCCCGGGTCCGGCTACTGGAGCTCCGACGACAACCTGGAGCGAGAGCTGTGCCTGTACCACCCGCACCACCAACAGCAGCCGCCGCCCTCGCCCACGCCGTCCATCTCGCCGTCCCCCATCGCCATGACCATCAGCCGCTACCCGGGCCAGCCGCCGCCGCCGCCCGACCCCGGCTACCCGCACACCCCGCTCACGGCGTCGCAGTCGCAGCAGTACTTCGGCATGATGGACCCGTACGGCACGCTGAACGAGCACACGCCGCTCACCCACTCGCACTCGCACCACGGGCACCACTCGTCGTCGTCGTCGTCCCACGCGCACCACCACGGGCACCACCACCACGGGCACCACCACGCTCACCAGCCGCTCAAAGTGTCGAGGAGCAACGACGTCATCAGCAAGTACGCGCCCGCGCCGCCGGGGATCAGCGCGAGCAGCAATAACACGCCCACGCCGATGGACCGAGGAGAGCGAGGAGACAGAGGAGACAGAGAGAGGTCGAGCGGCGCGTTGATGCCGTTAAGTTTGGCGGACGGGAGGGACAAGAAGGGGGCGTGGTCGTCCAGTTTAACGGTGAGCAGAGCCCGAGACGTCTTCACCAACCAGCACACGAGACCCCAGAGCCCCGCAGCCGGTAACCTAAACCTAGATAGAGCGCTAGTGAAAGCTCAGGCCAGTCAGCAGCAGCATTTCCTACAGGTAAAGTCCCACCTGTCCCCGCCCCCCTCACCCCAATCACCCAATCACGATGTAGTCTCCACCCTCCATTCACAATCTCACAACAGTGTTTCTTCTAAGCCGGTGCGGTCCAGTCTCAAACCGTTTTTAGGATTTATTTGGAGAGAGAAGCGGACGTATTTTGACCTCAATAAATCATCAGTTTTGCTTAAATACACGGTGAAAAAAAAATCCGGTACATCTCCTTTAATCACCCGTAATTAACGTATTTTAATCTAATGTCGTTTCCTCGTCACAAACAGACCTGGAGTTGTGTTTTTTGGTTTCATTCACACGTTTAACGCAGATTTACGCTGTATTTTTCTTCTTCTCTGTTCCACCTTGTGATGTCATCATGTGGCGATACAGGAAGTGCGCCACTGTGTTTTTAAACTCCACACACCTTCATTAGAAACATTTGGGTCATTTCAGTCCTGGAACTGCCAAATTATTTCTACTAAACTAAAGGTAAAAGGAGATGTTCGCTTGAAAACTACCGCTTCTTGATGACATCACAAGGTGGAACAGAGCGTTTTGAGCATGACTTGAAAGTCCAATATTATGTTAAATAGACTTTTGTGGGTGTATCATTCATTCGTTTTTCAAAATAAAACCAAAAATAAGATAACGAAAAAAACAACTATTTTCTTCATTATTTTTCTCCAAAACCAAAATGAAAACAAACCAAAAAAATACATATAGTGATTTTTTTTTTTTTTTTTTCAGTTTTCGATTTTGTGTTTAAATGAAAAATGGAAAAAATGGATAACGAACTGAACCAGGACTGAGCCCAGCCCAGGACTTAGACAAGGACCAGGACTGAGATAGGGACCAGACCTGAACTAGACTGGGACCAGACCAGGACCAGACCAGGACTGAAATGGTTTAGTCCTGGTTCAGTCCTGTTTTAGTCCTGGTTTAGTCCGTATGGGGTGCAAAAGTCCAGAATCCGTGTATCATTCGTTCTTTCGTTTTTCAATATAAAACCAAAAATAAGAAAACGAAAAAACAACAGTTTTCTTCGTTATTTGTCTCCAAAACCAAAATGAAAAAATGGATAACGATTCATTTTTTCAGTTTTCGATTTTGTGTTTAAATGAAGAACTTTTGCACCGCGTACGGACTGAATAAGGACTGATCCAGGTCCGAGACCAGACCGGGACTAGAGCGGGACCAGACCAGGACCAGAGCGGGACTGGGGCGGACTCCAAGCTTTGACTCCGAGCCTCAGCTTCGAGCTCCGGCCCTGCTGTGGGCTCTGAGCCTCTGGTCTGGTCCCGGTCTGGTCCTGGTCTTGTCTCGGTCTCGGTCTCAGGCCCGGTCTGGTCCCCAGTCTCAGTAGCGCTTTGGTCCCGGTCTGATCCCGGACCTGGTCCATTTGAACCAAAAGCTCGATTCATTTTCATTGGTGTGAAGCGTCAGTCGGATACTTTGCTCCACCTCGGAACCAGCCGCGGTTCTTGAGCGCAGAGGACCAGAGCAGCTCTGTCCCGGTCTCAGTCCCGCTCTGGTCTCGGTCTGGTCTCGGACCTGGATCAGTCCTGATTCAGTCCGTACGCGGTGCAAAAGTTCGGCATCGCAGTCACTGAAGTCACGTAAACGGGAAACGGACGTTATCCGTTTTTCCATTCTTCATTTAACACAAAAAGAAAACTGAAAAAACGAATGTTATCCTTTTTTTCATTTTGGTTTTGGAGACAAATAGCGAAGAAAACTGTTGTTTCGTTTTCTTATTTTTGGTTTTATATTGAAAAACAAATGAACAAATGATACACAGATTGTCCAGCATCACAGTTACGGAAATTTCCATTTTTCATTTAAACACAAAATCAAAAAAATAAAAAAATGAATTATCAATTTTTTCATTTTGGTTTTGGAGACAAATAATGAAGAAAATATATATATATTTTTTTTCTTTTCTTATTTTTGGTTTTATTTTGAAAAACAAACAAACGAATGACACAGATTATGAGTAACACTTTATTATTATTCTGTCTTCATCTCCAAAACTCAAAATGCTCTTTTCCAACTTGTGACGTTAAAGGTTGTATGGAGGATTTTTTTTTGTTTCAAATTGTCAGTGATAGATTATAGAGATGCAGTAGCCTTGTAATTATGATGACCAAAAAAAAGAGAATAAAAATTCATCAACTCTGGACGTGGTGGGGCTAAACATTTGCCAATAGATAACGACACTGCCTCGTTATCTGTGAGCTGACAGGCTGTCAATCAAACTCCCTACGTTTCTAGCGTAACTGACTTGCCTGCGCCGCCGGTACGTGGTTTACGTACGACTGTCACGCAGTCCACAGACGCCACAGACGCTGTTTACTCCACCAACGCAAACAGTTCTTAGCGGCTTTTTTTGACCTATATCTTCCTCGCAGTTCGCACAAAGTTTGTTGCGATGGCGACAAGAATCCAGGAGCAGTTCGCCGCAAAAGAAAGTCCGTTTTTTGAGGTCGCTGAAAGAAGAAGACAAGGGGAAAAGCAGCGAAGCCAAACTAAGGTGATTCTGGAGATTCATTCCAGCGATGGCGCGACTGAAGCAGACGCAGGGTCTAAAGACTGACGCACTGGTCCACAAATTACTCCTGGACAGGAAACTTCTGCTTATTATGAAAACGTACTTTATTTCCAAGAGCTAGTCAAACGTTTTTCAGGACACGAAAGCGATATCCTATGTCTGAAAACGTAATTTTCAATGCAAAGAAAGAGTCCGGTTGCTGCTGCGTGTTGTAGCTAGTTCATTCGCACTGAATCTCCGCGCAACCTTCTCTGCTCCCCTTTCCTGCTCCTCTCCCCGCTGCCCGATCCGTCTTCCCCCTCCTCCTCACTCCTCGGGCACGAAATCTCCGCGCACCGCTCCCCTCTCCTCTCTCCTCTCTCCTCTCTCCCTGCTCCGCTCTTCTCCCTTCCTCACTTCTCATCCAGGCACGAAATGTCCGCACACCCCCTCCCCCCGCTCCTCACTTCTCCGTCTTGCCTAACCAACACTGTAGTTAGTTGTTTACAAGTCATGTGCACCGGCTGTAAACAAACCTGTTTTCTGGCGTAAAGAGGAGGCGGGAGGAGGTGTTCTACGTAGGAGCTGTAGGGGAGGGGGGGTGGTTTCACGCATGCGCAACATTTGAAAAAGGACAAACAGTCGCTGGATTTCTCGTTCCTTGGAAAATCCTCTATACAACCTTTAAGTGAACAGCTCCTTTTACCTTTAGTTATGAGTGGAAATTCCAGCACTGAAATGATCCAAACGATTCTAGTGAAGGTGTGTGGAGTTTAAAAACACAGTGGAGCACTTCCTCTATCACCACATGATGACATCACAAGGTGGAATAGAGTGTTTTCAGTTTGAGAGAAGAACCTAAGAGCCTAAATCTGCAGGGTTTGTGTGTTAAACGTGTGTGAATGAAACAAACAAAAAAAAAACACAACTCCAGGTCTGTTTGTGACGAGGAAACGATATTAAAACATAAATCAGAAATAATATTAGGCTCTTTAAAGCTCACAAGAGTCAGTTTAAACCTTTAAACTCTGTGTTTTTCCTCGTTCTTCTTCCTCTTCTGCTCTCGAATTTCGCCGCAGTGAAATTCCGTGTTTGTTTGTGGAGTTTGAGGAAATCCGGCGGCATTTGTCTGGGCTCAGGGAGAGTCTGTCTGTAAATGTGTGTTTGTGTTGGGGCTTACGGGAGATCAGGACCACGCGGGAGAAACATCTGAACCAACAACAGTCTGAGCACGCCGTGGCAGAGTGGTTAGCCTCGCCTCGCAGCCGCCGCAGGGTTCACGGTTAGATTCCCCAGACAGAACGAGGCTTTTGCAGTCGTCCGGGCAGAGTTGGGAAGGTGACTTTTAAAATGTATTCAACTACAGATTACAGATTACAGATTACACACCGCAAAATGTAGTTTGTAACATAATCCTGTGTTAGACCTGGTTTAGTCTTGGTTTAGTCCTTGTTTAATCTTGGTTTAGACCTGGTTTAGACCTGGTTTAGACCTGGTTTTAGACCTGGTTTAGACCTGGTTTTAGACCTGGTTTTTAGACCTGGTTTTAGTTTTTAGACCTGATTTAGACCTGGTTTAGACCTGGTTTAGACCTTTTTAGACCTGGTTTTAGTCCTGGTTTAGATCTGGTTTAGACCTGGTTTTAGACCTGGTTTAGAAGACCTGGTTTAGAAGACCTGGTTTTTTAGACCTGGTTTTAGACCTGGTTTTAGAGACCTGGTTTTAGACCTGGTTTAGACCTAGTCCTGGTTTTCCTGGTTTAGACTGGTTCCTGGTTTTAGACCTGGTGTCCTGGACCTTTTTAGACCTGGTTTAGACCTGGTTTTAGACCTGGTTTAGACCTGGTTTTAGACCTGGTTTAGATAGACCTCCTGGTTTAGACCTGGTTTTAGTTTAGTGGTTTAGTCCTGGTTTAGACCCTGGTTTAGACCTAGATTTTTAGACCTACCTGGTTTTAGTCCTGGTTTTGTCCTGGTTTAGATCTGGTTTAGACCTGTTTTTTAGACCTGTGTTTTAGACCTGGTTTAGACCTAGTTTAAGACCTGGTTTAGACCTGGTTTTAGACCTGGTTTAGACCTGGTTTAGACCTGGTTTAGTTCTGGTTTAGTCCTGGTTTAGTCCTGGTTTTAGACCTGGTTTAGACCTGGTTTTAGTCCTGGTTTAGTCCTGGTTTAGACCTGGTTTTAGACCTGATTTAGACCTGGTTTAGTCCTGGTTTAGATCTGGTTTTAGACCTGGTTTTTTGTCCTGGTTTAGACCTGGTTTTAGTCCTGGTTTAGTCCTGGTTTAGATCTGGTTTAGACCTGGTTTTTAGACCTGGTTTAGTCTTAGGTTTAGACCTGGTTTTAGACCTGGTTTAGACCTGATTTAGTGTCCGGCAATGAGTGGAATTACTGCCCAAAATGTGAAAACAGGAAAATGCCGCAGTGTAATCCATTTATTTCAACAAAGTAACTGTAATCCAATTACCACTCAC